TAAATAAACTGGAAGAGTCCTGTCATCGCCAGACGAAACAGCCAGGGTTGGTGAATCCTGGACCAAATCGGAGTACAGCTATGTACAAATCAAAGAGAGCATGCTTACTTTAATGAACAAAGTAGGTAGTTATGTATAGTAAAATGCAACCTGCTCCATATAAGGAAGCGTTACCGGCATTTGGATTCAGATTGCTTTGATGTCTACGTACGCAGCTGTCACAACTAGGTCAAAATTGTTCATCTTTGCTCGATATTTTTTATTTTACTGGCGATAATTCTATTAAAACGTGCAATACAGCGTGGTTTTAATTTATTACTTTATATGTGATTCCTCAACACCTTTAATGCTTGTAGTGTTTCTCATGGTCAGAACCGTGTGCAGACGAATGGCGCACATACCATAGTATACTTGTGCAATTTTTTCTAGGAGAGACACGAGCACATAAGTGATCGCTGTTGGTACGCTGGTCTGTCTGCGTTCTGTTTGATTAGTAAAATTTATACGCTTTATAGGCCTTATAACCTATGGGTTATTAGTGAAGCTCATTGCTTCCTATGACAGGATCATCGCCGATAAACTTCAAACCAGCATTAGTAGTCACATTGCTTCACCATCAACGGCAACCCTTGGTATCCCTAGTGTGCTTTCGTAGATTCATAAAAAACCCAGTAATTTTCACTTCATCAAGCAGGAGTAGTCAGCGATTATGATTTATATTGTAAGCTTTTTGAGAATACTAAACATCTTGAACTGAATGACGACCTCATTCGTCTTTTACTTGCATAATGACGAACAAATGATGTTTTTGTCTTTTTTTTTAAAAAAATGTTTCTTAACGGCAAGCTGTCACTGTAGAACCCTTCAACGTTTTAGGCTTGGCCAGAGGATGCTCTTGAAATGGTGGCCAACACAGCTTTTGCTGATATCGAGTTGGAGGACAACGTGCGGTTGGCAATTGTTGATATTTGCAAATATTTCCATGAGAGCGTTCGTCTCCTCTCTGAGCGGCAAGTTTTCAAAGACCTTTTTCTTTCGCGTCCATCTCATTGCTATGGCCTATAACATGGAAGGTGTTGTGGGCTGCACAGGCTTAGGACCCATAAGTCTATGGTAGTATTCCGGCAAAGACAGGCACCCTAGAATAGTTATTTCTGGCGTTACTGGTCGTCGTCAGCTAGGAGTAGCCAACTCTAGTGTAGCCACCGAAATTGCTGCCACACTCGAGTTCCAAACTCGCGTCTCGCCGGTCAGAGGCAAACGTCCTAACCATTGAGCCACGATTTCGCTGTCTTGCCGGTTGTTGATTGGGAGTATATAGTAGTTAACTGTACACCGATCCGTCTTTCACGATGTACCCGTCCCGGTTGCTGCTTTGCGAGTTCAGACCAACCGATTTTGTTTTTTCACAAGGCTACTAATATTAATGTTACTAACTAATTTTCAGTAACATGTCTTTTTTATGATATAGTAGTAATATTCCGGCAAAGACAGATCGGTGTACAATTAACTACTATATACTCCCGAGCAACAACCGGCAAGACAGCAAACTCGTGGTTCCTTGGTTAGGACGTTTGCCCCTAACCGGTGAGACGCGAGTTCGAAACTCGAGTGTGGCAGAAATTGCAGCAGCTACACTAGAGTTGACTACCCCTAGCTGACGACGGCCAATAAAGCCAGAAATAACTATTCCAGGGTGCCTGTCTTTGCCGAAATACTACTACTATATTATAAAAAGATATGTTACGGAAAATTATTTAGTAACATTGCAATTAGTCCTTCTAAAACACAATATTGTTTGGTCCGAACTCGCAAAGCATCAACCAGGATGTGTGCATCCTGAAAGACAGGTCGGTGTACAATAAACGACCCATAAGTCTTTCAGCTGCAGTGGAAATGAAGGCAAACAAATACAATGGCTTTAAAAGCCAACTTAAACGCTGGTGGCCTAATGAATCTCCAAGTGCTTTCTAAAAATAATTAGGAAAGAGAAATCGCATGGTGACTTTTGGGACACTCTGTAGTATGCAAAATGTATAGTCTTTTAAAGAAAGCAGTTTTTTTAAATTAAGTATACCACGATAACTGTGATTAAATCACGATATAGAAAATAAAATTTTACAAAGTCTGAAAAAATGCTAGAGTACGACATGCCCTACGGGCACTTTATTTGTTTACCCCCTAACCAGGCCCATAGGTGGTAACTTCATTATTTTAACGACTTTCCGTTCTCGACGGCAGACCTGACATCCACTAGATTCCGAGAATGCTAACACCAAATTTCTCGTTCGCCAAAACTAGCACACCTTTCAATTTCATTTCAATCCTAATTAACTTTTTCTTCAATCCAATCAGCTTCCTCAACGAACTGCGTCGACATAATTACGTCACTCCGACCTCCTATCTGGAAATGATACGCACCTTTAAGAAACTGTTGGGCTTGAAACGGAATGAGCTGACAATGATGCGCAATCGTTACCTCACGGGTCTGGAGAAGCTAGAATTTGCCGCCGGAGAGGTTGGCAAGATGCAGGTGGAACTGGTGGAACTTCAGCCCCAGCTCATCGTCACCGGCCAGGAGACGGATAAACTACTGGCCAAAGTCGCCAAGGACACTATCCAGGTGGAGGCGCAGCGAACTATAGTCGCTGCTGACCAACTGACTGCCAATCAA